GGGCGTACAGAGGCCCATTTATCAGTAACCACCTGTGTTCCAATGGCACGTTGTGTTTGCTAATCCAAGTTTATCATTTTAAATGGCTAATTGATCATTAGAAAACCCTTTTGCAATTATGTTAGCACAGCTGAAAATTGTTGTGCTGATTAAAGCAGCAATAAAACTGGCCTTCTTGAGGCTAGTTGAGTATCTGGAGCATCAGCAATTGTGGGTTCGATTACAGGCTTAAAATGGCCAGAAACAAATAACTTTCTTCTGAAACTCGTCAGTCTATTCTTGTTCTGAGAAATGAAGACTATTCCATGCGAGAAATTGCCAAGAAACTGAAGATCTCGTACAACGCTGTGTACTACTCCCTTCACAGAACAGCGCAAACTGGCTCTAACCAGAATAGAAAGAGGAGTGGGAGGCCTCGGTGCACAACTGAGCATGAGGACAAATACATTAGTGTCTAGTTTGAGAAACATCCCGGAGTCGCCTCTTCACTGTTGACGTTGAGACCGGTGTTTTGCGGGTACTATTTAATGAAGCTGCCAGTTGAGGACCTGTGAGGCGTCTGTTTCTCAAACTAGACACGCTAATGTATTTGTCCTCTTGCTCAGTTGTGCACCGGGGCCTCCCACTCCTCCTTCTATTCTGGTTAGAGCCAGTTTGCGCTGTTCTGTGAAGGGAGTAGTACACAGCGTTGTACGGGATCTCGCATGGAATAGGCTTCATTTCTCAGAACAAGAATAGACTGACGAGTTTCAGAAGAAAGTTCTTTGTTTCTGGCCATTTTGAGCCTGTAATCGAACCCACAATTGCTGATGCTCCAGATACTCAACTAGTCTCAAGAAGGCCAGTTTTATTGCTTCTTTAATCAGCACAACAGTTTTCAGCTGTGCTAACATAATTGCAAAAGGGTTTTCTAATGATCAATTAGCCTTTTAAAATTATAAACTTGGATTAGCAAACTCAACGTGCCATTGTAACACAGGACTGATGGTTGCTGATAAAGGGCCTCTGTACGCCTATGTAGATATTCCATTAAAAATCTGCCGTTTCCAGCTACAATAGCCATTTACAACATTAACAATGTCTACACTGTATTTCTGATCAATTTGATGTTATTTTAAATTGACAAAAAAATGTCTAAGTGACCCCAAACTTTTGAACGGTAGTGTATATACATACAAACATTTTAAAAACATGTTTTCAATTTGTTATTATGGAGTATTGTGTGTAGATGTGTGAGAAAGAAAATCTATTGAATCCATTTTGAATTCAGGCTGTAACACAACAAAATGTGGAATAAGTCAAGGTGTATGAATACTCTCTGAAGGCACTGTATAGAATGGTGTGTATAGACAGTATGAACAGTATATGAATAGAAAAGGTGTGTACAACAGTTGTTATATAGGATGAGCCATGACTAGAACACAGTATATACATATAAAGTGGGTAAAATAGTATGCAAACATTATCAAAGTGACCAGTGTTCAATGTCTATGTACAGTGCATTCCGAAAGTGTTCAGACCCCTTGACTTTTTCCACATTTTGTTACATTACAGCTTTATTATAAAATGGATTAAATTGTTGTTGTTTTTCCCCCTCATCAACCTATACACACAATACCCTATAATGGCAAAGCAAACACAGGTTTTTAGAAATGTTTGCAAATGTATTAAAAATAAACTGAAATATCACATTTACATAAGTATTCAGACCCTTCACTCAGTACTTTGTTGAAGAACCTTTTTGCAGTGAGTATGATGCTACAAGCTTGGCACACCTGTATTTGGGGAGTTTCTCCCATTCTTCTCTGCAGATCCTCTCAAGCCCGGTCAGGTTGGATGGGGAGCGTCGCTGCACCGTAATTTTCAGGTCTCTCCAGAAATGTTCGATCAGGTTCAAGTCCAGGCTCTGGCTGGGCCACTCAAGGACATTCAGAGACTTGTCCCGAAGCCACTCCTGCGTTGTCTTGGCTGTGTGCTTAGTGTCATTGTCCTGTTGGAAGGTGAACCATCACCCCATTCTGAGGTCCTGAGCGCTCTGGAGCATGTTTTCATCAAGGATCTCTCTGTACTTTGCTCGGTTCATCTTTCCTTCGATCCTGACTAGTCTCCCAGTCCCTGCCGCTGAAAAACATCCCACAGCATGATGCTGCCACCACCATGCTTCACCGTAGGGATGGTGCCAGATTTCCTCCAGACGTGACTCTTGGCATTCAGGCCAAAGAGTTCAATCTTGGTTTCATCAGACCAGAGAATCTTGTTTCTCATGGTCTGAGAGTCCTTTAGGTGCCTTTTGGCAGACTTCAAGCAGGCTGTCATGTGCCTTTTACTGAGGAGTGGCTTCCGTCTGGCCACTCTACCATAAAGATCTGATTGGTGGAGTACTGCAGAGAGATTTTGTAGATTGATGGAGAAAGAAAAATATCCTCAATTTTAGAATACGGCTGTAACGTAACAAAATGTGGAAAAGGGGAAGGTGTCTGAATACTTTCCGAATGCACTGTAATTTGCTAGGTTATTATTGTTATCTATACACTGTTTAAAATTATGTTTTACCGGAATAAAGTAAGCTAGCTACCGGAGACAACTCATCTGAACAAGGCTTACAATATATTTTATTTAGATTGTTCAGGTTCACCATCAGCAATAGTTTTGTTTTAAACATTTTTACATATACAGGGTAAAGTACCTCCTTTCATAACAAGGACAGCAATCCACTTTTGTGAGGCGCACTGCATAGCCAAAGCTGGAGGAGAAAAGATCATCACTCCATAAAAACTTCCATAAGGTCAAAACCATTCGATTTTGAGATGGGGGTGAAATCCAAAGTTGTGCTATATATTCATTGGCTATGTCATAGCTCATTTGTAAATGACAAATATTGATACATTACTAGCTCAAACACTTAATCTGCTAAAATGACAAGTTAATTAGTGCGTGATGGTGATTTCAGAACCAAAGTGGGGGGAGAAAAAACATAGGCTACATTGGCCCCCCTAATCTGATAGTGGTAGATGCCTAATCTCCTTTATGGCTCAGCTCAGGTGCCTACATAGTACATACACCATAGACATACATAATTTAAACACACACACACACACACACACAGTCAGCGCCAGCTCATAGAGGCCCAGCTCATGAAATCCATCAGCAGCAGATTTTAATTTAGAATGGAAAATGAATGTGTTAATGCAACTAATGTAAGGGCATCGACTCGTATCGAACCGAATTGCATCGATTCGTTCTCAAATCAAACCGAACCGTTTCAAACTAAAGCGTATCGTTCCTGTATCGTAGCCCATGTATCGAATCGTCTTGAAAGGGAAAGATGCACATCCCTAGTGTTTTCAAATAAATTATAATTGTCTGGGAAGACAGCAGAGCCATTAGAGTGAATAGGAAGTCTTGATCGGAGTATTGCACATCAACATAATACAGCTCATTACCCACCAGTGGGTCTGGGAATTGCCAGGGCCCTCACAATATGATATTATCACGATACTTAGGTGCTGATACAATATGTACTGCGATTCTCACGATTCTACATGCCAGGGATCTCCAACTGGCAGATTTTATTTGGCCCCCATGTTTTCTGAGCAAAAATATAATAATAATAAATAAGTACATTCATATTGTTGGACATAAGACTAAAAACACCAGCAAATCAGCACCAAGTGATTTTAATTTTGGAAACCTGTTCCAAAGTACACCCACGCATAATAGAGAGATATATGTGATCGTATACAAATGTAAGCAAGGTTTGAAATGATTATGTTTTAGTCAAATATTATATATGTTTGGGCTTCTTGCGTTCAATTTAAAGTCTACAAATCATCCGCTCAAGAAAATAAAAAAAATCGGCCCGCGGCTGAATCTAGTTGATGATCCCTGCTATATGTATTGCGATTCAATACTGCGAGTTTATTGCGATTTGATGTTCCAAACAAACTGCTGCAAAGACACAAGAGATGAATTTTGATCAGTCTGGGAAATAAAGTGCTGAAAACATGTTGGCTCTCTATTTAAAAAGATAAAGAACAAGCTATAGGATGAAAAATACCTGAGTTTTGGCGGAGGTACAGCCGACTAGCACTAGCCAACACTACCGTTTTATTTTTTACAAACCCATACTTGGAGTCAAATATCAATATAATATAGTACAAAAATAATATTGCGATATGTAACAAAGGATTTTTTCCCCCATCACTACCCACCAGAGAGAATAATGTATGCTTCCCTGTGCCACAATGCTCATTTCACAGCAGAGACTGCAATTAGAAACCAGCTGCATTCACAAGAGCCAACAAATATAGTAGTAGAACACAATTAAAAGAAACAGATGCTAAAATGCAAGGACTATTTCATTACAGCAATGGGAGAAAATAAAGTATATTGTCATTACATAGGCCTAAGTAACTGACAAAGAGGCTTTAGTTTGTGCCCAGAGAAACTGTTCTGGCCTGATGTTCTTTTCAAATGGTGTCTGGTTTCTCTCCCTGGAGACAGCGAGACTGTCAGGACCAGATCGTTATGGGCTGGTCAGAAAATACTATTATGTCATTAAGTGGTTGTGACTCATTGATGAAATCACTAGAGGTGAGATTTTGGTCTCAGGGCAAAACAACCTGGTTGAAAGTCTTGATGCAATACTCAGCTACAGAGCAGATCATAGCATTCTTATTATCTCATATTTTTACATTTTAGTCATTTAGCAGACGCTCTTATCCAGAGCGACTTACAGTTAGTGAATGCATACAGTATACTGGGCCCCCCGTGGGAATCGAACCCACAACCCTGGCGTTGCAAGTGCCATGCTCTACCAACTGAGCTACACGAGGCCCCATATAATTTCTACTTCTAAAGCAATTAGGCTAGTAATTGAGCCGTCCACGACACAGTAACCTTAGATTTGCATTCAAAGATAGCTAGGCCTTACAGAAAACGGAATAAAGTTAGTAAAGTCGGCACAAAATGCAAAGCAAGCATATAAGTTGCATGTTGGCTTAAAAACGGTTCTTACCGATGCACACGTCTAATTTGCCCTTGATGGCAGCCTCGTGGAGCGGTGTGTAGTTCCAGTTGTCCCGGGCGTTTGGGTCAGCACCCTGACAGAGGAGCAGGCTGACCACCTCAGCGTGGCCAAAGGAGCAGGCATTATGCAGAGGGATCAAACCTCCATCATCACGGGCGTGAACGTCGGCCCCTGTCTCAAGGAGGTGCTCCACAACATCCTTCCTCCCAAATCCTACAAAGTAAAGGAAATGGTGGAAAGATTATCAGGTGTGCTGGGCCAGTTCCAGGCAAAAGCTTCATAAGCGGTCACTTAGGTGGCCCCCTGACCAAAAAATAAGAATAATTGTATACATGTATATTTTTTTAGAAACTCAGTTGAGGTCTCAACTTACTATTGCGATTAACACTAACAGATACACCAGGTACATTTCTAAATGTGGTTGTGCATCAGCAGTTTCTCTCTTGTTATGTCAAGCAGTCACTCAATTAGCCATGTCATCTAAACATTTTTAGATTGGTAGTTAGTCTAGCCAGCAATCTAAACTTGTAGTAATCATGGCCGAATACTGACCGGGCACGTGCCCAAGGGCCCTGCCCTCCAGGGGGCCCACATTGATTTAGTTAGTCATTCTCACTCAGATATCATATTAAGATGGCAAAGGTCATTTCAAAATGTGTAGAATTGCAGGAAATTAGCTTAAAAATGGCAAAAGAAATAGAGCCCCCCAACCAAAATCTTCCTTAGGGCCCCCAAAAGGCTAGGGCCCGCTCTGAAGGTGTGTTTATCATCCATAACAGACATCCTGCCACGAATGGGTCACTAATACAGTGAAACACAACCTTCAATCATTGTTTAACATATTTCCTTTATTGTTTATTATGAGAAGACATACTGGTTGTGTGTGTCACATCTACTACCTCTGTCGTTTTTGTTTATTGTCTGCCATGTTGAAAGTTCCTTGTTTAAGACAAACATATCTTACCAAGCCAACTAGCTAGTTAGTTAACTATAATTGTTTTTAGATTAATTCCAAATCACGCTGGCTGCCTGACAGGGCCTGTACTTTTTGCTTGCAACTTTCTGGCTAATAGCAACCCCTCCCCCTACCCGAATGGGGAGTCAAAATGTAGGCTAGCTGGCTCGGCCCTTTCGACAATCTAGCCTAACGTTAGCGAACTAACTATCCAAGTTTGTTAGGCAACGTTAGTTACCTAGTTAACAAACTGAGTGAGCAAGATATCGAGCAAACGTTGGCCCAATAAACTTTAGTTAGTTAGCTATTTATCGACGTAGTTGGCTAGCTGCTAGTTAGCAAAACAAACCAGCTCATCATAGTGAGCATAACATGCTAATACGGGTCCCTAAACGCCGTCGTTACCTGCAGCGAAGTGCAGCGGAGTGGATTTTCGCCCAGCCATGTCCTTGGCATTCACGTTAACCGTATCCACCAGCCTCTTCACACGCGATACATCCCCAGTGCGACAGGCTTCAAACAACTCTCTGAAAGCCCCGCTTGTCTCGCAGTCGCCGCCCGTGGGGCTAGTGCTACCCGAGTCAGGACTGGAGCCAGCGCTGCTGCCACCCCCGGTGGTACTAACATTAGTGGAGCTGGTGCTACTGCTCAGGGCCGGGGCGGGGATATCGGGGGAGGCCGGAGTTAACAATGGATCACCGGCGCTGTCTAGTTCAGCACCCGCTGGAGCCGAAATTACTCCACCACCGGGAACTGGAGGAGATCCCGGAGAAGTGAGGGAAAGAGAAGTACTGCGAGGTGGCGAGGTTATGCTCTGTTGTTGCTGATGAGTAGAGCGACGAGACGCCGCCATTTTTACAACAGTCCCACTGGGAACAATAAATATATTGGCTAAACTTCCTGGAAGTGGAGACTGTAACTTCCGGTTTCGATTGTCAGCAGAGAAAGTGGACCCAAAAAATATTTTTTTTAAACTGTTTGTTTTAATATTTTTTTAGTGTGTAATCCCACATTTCTGATAAAAAGCTTGTTATTGATACGTTTATTTTTGCTCTTTCAACCAAATAGACTAGCCAATAAACCAATACGATTTGATTTGAATAGACTGGGCAGGGGACCGGCGTGAGACTCCTACTCATGCACAGCAGAATCTGAGGTTTTATAACTCTTCCATGATCTGATCTCTATATCAGTTTAGTGTGAGAGACATAACAGCTACCATAGCCAGTGGCGACCCATCATTCAGGGAAGGTGCACCTGTTTTGAGCCCCACATTTTTAGCTTGCCTGTTTTGCATGTTATTTTGGCATTAATACGTGTCACATATCAGTTTGCAAACAATGTAAAAAATATATATATATATCGTTGAGTTAATAAAGCTGCATACAAACATGGTCTCTCTGTTTTATTGAGTAAGGCAGCTCCAAAATGCAGGTGTTTCAGCGTAGCTCAGTGCTTTCTGTGGTGGTGGGGCAGCCAGCGGAAAATACTGAGTGTAGGTGTTGGTAATGTTCTCTAGTTGCGCCGTGATTGGTTCAGTGTTCTGTCACTCATGGGACACTAGTCACCGCCAAGTCTAAGGGTAGAGCTAAAAAATTCAAACCCCTTGGGTGCTGCCATAGAGTTACTTTAGAAGTGCCCATCCAAGAAGTAGCTTTGATTGGACTGATCATGTCAACATCATACTTTCAAAATCTTAGCTAGCAGTCATCATCATGAATCAAGTCGACAATCTACTGGCAAATCCTTTTTAATCCTTGTCATATGAAGATAAATAATTAAGAGAAATGATAGATAAAATGTATTGGCCATTGGACATAAACATTACACAACAAGTTGGAAATAGCAAATTCAAAAATGAGTGGTTTGGAAGGAATCAGTGGCTAACTGCAAGCATTGCAAAGCAATCACTAGCCTGCCATTCAGTGGAGTGGCTGTGTGGTCCCAAGTTTAGGATTAAGGGTCTCTTTTCCAAACCTAAAATGATAAACATTCAACATTGGCCATTCAACATTGGAGTTCAAGACAACTGGGAACTCGGGAAAAAACGAGCTCCGACTTGGAAAATACGTTTTGAACGGTCATCCAACTCAGAATTGTAAATCCGGAACTCGGGGCTCTTTCTAGAGCTATGACCTGAAGATCCCTGATGTCATCATGTTCCCAGTTGTCTTGAAAGCACCATAAATCCAGAGAATGCCAGACATTGATGACAAAGTTTGATGTCAGAATTTGCCCAGGAAGGACCGCCGCACCACCTTCCTGTTCAAGTGGGCACAACACAACAAGGTGAGTCCAAAAATGTATTGTATGCTGCTGCATAAATGATGTAAACAGGGAGATATGTATACTGTATCTAAGGAAGTAATACTAAGTGTATGTTGTGTAGTAAGCTGTTAGTAGCCCATGTGCCTCACCCTAATAATTTGGCCTATTTTCCCCTCTTAATTTCGCCTACTGTTCTGACTTGGTGGTGCACATGTAGCCTATAAACTGTTTGACAGAAATGTAATCATCGAATATTGTAAGAGCTTTCATTGTCTGCTTATATGCCCCCTTTATTTATCCTACGGTTCTGACTTGGTGTACAGGGAGAACACTGTAAGAACGGCCCATGTTCTGAATTCTGTTGCTGTACATTTCAAAAGTGCTGAACAAATAGTTACATTGACTACGTCCGTCCTAGTTCGCTCATTAATGTCTTAATCGAAATTACAGATTGCCTCTTATCCGCTTGTCGTCCCCTTATGCCAAAGTTTGTACATCTCAATTGTCAGTAGAAACCATATTTGTTTAAGCAAGTCAGCCATATCAGCTGTGTTTTTTTAAAGTATGAAAAATGTATGCACTCACTAACTGTAAGTCGCTCTGGATAAGAGCGTCTGCTAAATGACTAAAATGTAATGTAAATGTTAATGCAGTAAATGAGGCTGAATGAACTGTCTCGCTGCGAGACAAGGCTCCGCTGATAGCCAGGTGTAGCAGTGGTAAGGTTTTGGGACTGCTGTTGGGACTCTGCTGTTGGGACAGCTTTATTTAGGCCCTAACAGTTTGTGGGCACCGTTTGTCACCGTTATAGTGCAATTAATGTATTGTTTAGTGGCTTTGCTGGCATGCATCCCACATTTTTGTTTTGTTTGCCCCACCAAGATTTACATGCAAAAATCGCCTCTGACCATAGCTACAGTATAGCAGCTATACTATATAATCAACCTTTCCATTTTTGCACCAAACGCAACCCCCAGAATAGCAGAAATCATCTGTCATATGAGATAAGGAAGATTCATTAAACTAAACACAATTTCCCTCTACTCTGTGAAATTCAGTTCGCACATACTGCACAATGACTAAGCATGATATTTCCCTATGCAGATCACATTTTTCACTTAATCTCAAGTAGCCTGAATCACTGCCAGGCTGCCTGTCCTGATATTGACACGGACGTGAAATGAAGCATATCTAAAAGGCAATATCTGTTTCAAAAAAGAAAGCTTTCTTGCATGACTTAAATAGAAAATGTAATTTTCAATGAGCAGCTGAAATCACTGTCAGTCAGGTTGGCCTATATAGTTGTTCTGCCTTGCCATTCATAGCCTTGCAAATTACATATTAAAAATGAAAGCTATTTTAAAAACTATAGTCTATAGTTACAATGGTGAAAATGGACATTCTGCAACCATTCCGGTCCTGCCCATTTGAACATTGTAAGCCTATGCTTTTTAAATCTTGGAGTGTATAAGGAAAACTTATGGGAGAAGTACTCTTGGCCTGAAGTGCTGGGAAACACATAGTGAAGAAAATATACTCAAAATCATCACAGATAAAGGACAAAATATGTGCACTGCCTATTCAATTACTGAACATCCAGATTTAGAAAATTAATCCTATGCAGGGTGACACCCAGTGGAGAACTGAGGCAAAGAAAGGAACGTTCCTGAAGACACTGGAGCTCCAAGTGGAAGAATATAAAAGCTGTGAAACTCCCACTGCTTAGACAGAAACCAACACAACCAACACTGAACACACGGTACCATCTCAGAGCAAGGGGACTCAACATTAACACTGACTGAAGATGCTGTGCTCCCAAATATTCCAGTCTTCCCTCAGCCCATTGATGGACTTCTACTGGCCTGTGTGTAGTCTTTGGCCAGAGGTTCAACCTCTTTTTTGCCAGTGGGATCTACTGCAGAGAAACATGCTGGAGCTCAAGAGCAGGCTGGAGCTGATGGAGAAACTTCAGCAGCACATCTTTGAGGAGATGGACTATGTCCCAGCCTCTGTGGTCATCCAACCAGTCTCCTACACACTGGAGAAAGAGGGAGAGGGCTTTGCCCTGACACTGGAGACTAAAGACTTCTCCCCAGAGGAGCTGTCTGTCAAGCAGGTGGGCAGGAAGCTGAGAGTCAGTGGGAAGACAGAGAAGAAGCAGGATGAAATGGAAGGCTCTTACTCTTACAGATGCCAGGAGTTCAGACAGGAGTTTTATCTGCCTGAAGGGGTGAATCCTGAGACAGTCACCTGCTCCCTGGATCATGATGGGAAGCTCCACATTGAGGCTCCAAAGAATCCATTATCTGCTGAGGAGGAAGTGACAGAGAGTGGTGCCCATCAACTGTAGCATGGATGTGAAGACGCCACAATTCCTCAGCTCACAGACAGAGGACAGCACCACAGAGGGAAGCACCACAGAGGACAGCACCACAGAGGGAAGCACCACAGACATACAGAGGAATCAATAACTGGGCAAAAGGTTGATAGCCTAAAGACTGAACCTATTTTCACTTCTAATCTCATGTTTTTTATAACACTATCTCTGGAATTTTGTCTTCATATGTGTTGTTTTGTTACCCAATAAAATGTAAAAACTAAATCTATTTTTGTGTACCAATATAAAGCACAAACAGTACTTATAACAGTTGTTTTGAGCTAATTTCATTAACAATATTTCAGTCCCAGTCTTTGGAAAGTCGTTGAAAAGGACCCACTGTAACCCTGACAAAGGTCTGTGAAAACCCAAATATGTTGTGTCATAGTCCTGATTTATATTCAGCCCTCTAGTGTCTCCTCCAAAAGGCTCAGTGGATTTCATCTGATGGTTTAGATATACAGTAACTCATTTTTCTCTTATAACATCTTCCCATATGTTCCTTAAAATTGATTGGCCATGGCAATAATCTGTGTCCAGATCAAGTTCCCCTTGAAACAGTTAATGAACTTGTTGCTGGAAAAATCCCACGAATAGAATCTTAACAGTTCTTGTACATTCAAATCAAGCATATTATTGCATTACAGATGGTGGCTAATTATGCTACTCAATACACAATATGAATAATATTTTGGTTGTGTGATCTTCTCTCTCAATAACCACAAAACTATATTTAGAGACAGCGTAAGGAAGCAATGTTGTCAGTGGGGGTGTCCATTTCAGGGTCACATCCAACAAGAGGGTTGAGGGAAGTTGAATACTGACTAAAGCTATATTAATATATTTACTGCAAGTCATATCAATAAGTGGAACAGATTGCTGAAGTGCACTTGTAATTCCTTCTATGTCTGTATCACTCTTAAGGCAGAACCAGATATTACAGTGAGGGAAAAAGGTATTTGATCCCCTGCTGATTTTGTACGTTTGCCCACTGACAAAGAAATTATCAGTCTATAATTTTAATGGTAGGTTTATTTGAACAGTGAGAGACAGAATAACAACAAAAAAATCCTGAAAAACGCATGTCAAAAATGTTATAAATTTATTTGCATTTTAGTGAGGGAAATAAGTATTTGACCCCTCTGCAAAACATGACTTAGTACTTGGTGGCAAAACCCTTGTTGGCAATCACAGAGGTCAGACGTTTCTTGTAGTTGGCCACCAGGTTTGCACACATCTCAGGAGGGATTTTGTCCCACTTCTCTTTGCAGATCTTCTCCAAGTCATTAAGGTTTCGAGCCTGACGTTTGGCAACTCGAACCTTCAGCTCCCTCCACAGATTTTCTATGGGATTAAGGTCTGGAGACTGGCTAGGCCACTCCAGGACCTTAATGTGCTTCTTCTTGAGCCACTCCTTTGTTGCCTTGGCCGTGTGTTTTGGGTCATTGTCATGCTGGAATACCCATCCACGACCCATTTTCAATGCCCTGGCTGAGGGAAGGAGGTTCTCACCCAAGATTTGACGGTACATGGCCCCGTCCATCGTCCCTTTGATGCGGTGAAGTTGTCCTGTCCCCTTAGCAGAAAAACACCCCCAAAGCATAATGTTTCCACCTCCACGTTTGACGGTGGGGATGGTGTTCTTGGGGTCATAGGCAGCATTCCTCCTCCTCCAAACACGGCAAGTTGAGTTGATGCCAAATAGCTCCATTTTGGTCTCATCTGACCACAACACTTTCACCCAGTTCTCCTCTGAATCATTCAGATGTTCATTGGCAAACTTCAGACAGCCCTGTATATGTGCTTTCTTGAGCAGGGGGACCTTGCGGGCGCTGCAGGATTTCAGTCCTTCACGGCTTAGTGTGTTACCAATTGTTTTCTTGGTGAATATGGTCCCAGCTGCCTTGAGATCATTAACAAGATCCTCCCGTGTAGTTCTGGGCTGATTCCTCACCGTTCTCATGATCATTGCAACTCCACGAGGTGAGATCTTGCATGGAGCCCCAGGCCGAGGGAGATTGACAGTTATTTTGTGTTTCTTCCATTTGCGAATAATCGCACCAACTGTTGTCACCTACTCACCAGGCTGCTTGGCGATGGTCTTGTAGCCCATTCCAGCCTTGTGTAGGTCTACAATCTTGTCCCTGACATCCTTGGAGAGCTCTTTGGTCTTGGCCATGGTGGAGAGTTTGGAATCTGATTGATTGATCGCTTCTGTGGACAGGTGTCTTTTATACAGGTAACAAACTGAGATTAGGAGCACTCCCTTTAAGAGTGTGCTCCTAATCTCAGCTCATTACCTGTATAAAAGACACCTGGGAGCCAGAAATCTTTCTGATTGAGAGGGGGTCAAATACTTATTTCCCTCATTAAAATGCAAATCAATTTATTACATTTTTGACATGCGTTTTTCTGGATTTTGTTGTTGTTATTCTGTCTCTCACTGTTCAAATAAACCTACCATTAAAATTATAGACTGATCATTTCTTTGTCAGTCGGCAAACGTACAAAATCAGCAGGGGATCAAATACTTTTTTCCCTCACTGTATATCTGTTATCTTCATAAGTACAGTGATATCAGGAATACTTTGGATTTGTTGTCAGGGGAAAAGGTTATTCAGGAACAGAAAATGGCAGCATGACAAAGCAGCTGTTGTAGATTCCTTTCTAACTTTGTAGGCTACTCTTGTTTAAAGGACGTTATGTGCCCCTGTGACTCCGACCTGCTTCTGTGGTCACTCTGTAAATAGAGCAAAGATATATCCCAGAGGCATTTGGCAGTCAGACTGCAGTATTACCAGAGGCTTGTTTTGGAGTATGACAGAAGTTGCGTAGTCATAACACTCTAACGTAGCAGTCAAATGGAATGCTACTGGAACTTTCCACTGGACAGTATAAAAGCTGTGAGCCCTAGTCTGCTCGGGACATAAGCTCTCAGAAACACACTCAGAAACAAGAGACCAACAGAGACCAGCAGAAACGACACAGACAGAGTTGATTTGAAGATGCTTTGCCCCAGCATGATGCAGCCTTCCCTCAATCCAATGAGCCCAATGAGCCCCTTCATGGACTTCCACTGGCCCGTCCGCAGCCTATGGCCAGAGACACGGCCTCTCTTCTTCCAGATGGAGCAGGAAATTATGAGAAATATGCAAGAGATGAGGCACAATATGGAATATATGCAACGACTGCACCAAAAGATTTTTGAAGACATTGAAGGCCCATTATCTTCAATTGACTTCAAGCCCATCGCTTTCCAGGTGGGAAAAGAAAACAACCGTTTTGCATTGACACTAAACACTAAAGACTTCTCCCCAGAGGAGCTGTCTGTCAAGCAGGTGGGCAGGAAGCTGAGAGTCAGTGGGAAGACAGAGAAGAAGCAGGATGATATGGAAGGCTCTTACTCTTACAGATGCCAGGAGTTCAGACAGGAGTTTGATCTACCTGAAGGGGTGAATCCTGAGACAGTCACCTGCTCTTTGAACGATGGACAGCTACAGATCCAGGCACCAAAAATGGTGGCTGTGACAGAAGGCAATGAGAGAGTGGTTCCTATCACTTGCTTACCAGCCATAACCTCACCCGGCGCTGCAGCTGAGAGCACTACTGTAGAGGCAGAGCCCAAGAAGGACTGATTACGATGACTCTGTATCATGATATACTGTAGCTAATACCATTAGCTTAATGGCTGGGCAATAATAAAGAACTCCCATGAATACCATTTAATTCACTCACGTCTGTACTATCTCAAGTAAATTGCTATTTTGTGAAATTTGATGAACGCAACATCAATAATTCTCAATGGCATGGAATGTAAAGCCAATGTTTTTGCACATTCAATAAATATAGTTTTTTTTTTTTACAAAGTTTTGCCTTGTTTGATGTCATGTTGTTGTACAAACCAGTATTTCATTATGTTGCATTTGGGTAATTAATATTTTTCCATTTAAATCATGTCCCTGGAGTGGGTGTGATGGGTATGCCCTGGCTTGGTATAGCTGCCATTTCAATAGATGCCTTGAAAATCAAATAGTGGATCGAAAGACTATGTTTTGATATCATAACAGAGTTTGATTTCATAAAGAGTAATGTAGTTAAACAAAATGTTGTTAGGGTAGTTAGAGTAATGTAGTTAAACGGCCCTGTGTAGCTCAGTTGGTAGAGCATGGTGCTTGCAACGCCAGGGTTGTGGGTTCGATTCCCACGGGGGGCTAGTATGAAAAAAAATGTATGCACTCACTAACTGTAAGTCGCTCTGGATAAGAGCGTCTGCTAAATGACTAAAATGTAAATGTAAACAAAATGTTGTTAGGGTAGTTACAGTTGAAGTCGAAAGTTTACATACACTTAGGTTGGAGTCATTAAAACTCATTTTTCAACCACTCCACACATTTCTTGTTAACAAACTATAGTTTTGGCAAGTCGGTTAGGACATCTACTTTAGGCATGACACAAGTAATTTTTCCAACAATCGTTTACAGACAGATTATTTAACTTATAATTCACTGTATCACAATTCCAGTGGGTCAGAAGTTTACATACACTAAGTTGACGGTGCCTATAAACAGCTTGGAAAATTCCAGAAAATTATGTAATGGCTTTAGAAGCTTCTGATAGGCTAATTGACATCATTTGAGTCAATTGGAGGTGTACCTGTGGATGTATTTCAAGGCCTACCTTCAAACTCAGTGCCTCTTTGCTTGACATCATGGGAAAATCAAAAGAAATCAAACCTCAGAAAAAAAATTGTAGACCTCCACAAGCCTGGTTCATCCTTGGGAGCAATTTCCAAACGCCTGAAGGTACCACATTCATCTGTACAAACAATAGTACGCAAGTATAAACACCATGGGACCACGCAGCCGTCATACCGCTCAGGAAGGAGACACGTTCTGTCTCCTAGAGATGAACGTACTTTGGTGCGAAAAGTGCAAATCAATCCCAGAACAACAGCAAAGGACCTTGTGACGATGCTGAAAGAAACAGGTACAAAAGTATCTAAATCCACAGTAAAACGAGTCCTATATCGACATAACCTGAAAGGCCGCTCAGCAAGGAAGAAGTCACTGCTCCAAAACCGCCATAAAAAAGCCAGACTACAGGTTTGCAACTGCACATGGGGACTAAGATCTTACTTTTTGGAGAAATGTCCTCTGGTCTGATGAAACAAAAATAGAACTGTTTGCCCATAATGACCATCATTATGTTTGGAGGAAAAAGGGGGTGCCTTGCAAGCCGAAGAACACCATCCCAACCGTGAAGCATGGGGGTGGTAGCAACATGCTGTGGGGGTGCTTTGCTGCAGGAGGGACTGGTGCACTTCACAAAATAGATGGCATCATGAGGAAGGAAAATTATGTGGCTATATTGAAGCAACATCTCAAGACATCAGTCAGGAAGTTAAAGCTTGGTCGCAAATGGGTCTTCCAAATAGACAATGACCCCAAGCATACTTCCAAAGTTGTGGCAAAATGGCTTAAGGACAACAAAGTAAAGGTATTGGAGTGGCCATCACAAAGCCCTGACCTCAATCCTATAAAAAATGTGTGGGCAGAACTGAAAAAGCATGTGCGAGCAAGGAGGCCTACAAACCTGACTCAGTTACACCAGCTCTGTCAGGAGGAATGGGCCAAAATTCACCCAACTTATTGTGGGAAGCTTGTGGAAGGTTACCCGAAACGCTTGACCCAAGTTAAACAATTTAAAGGCAATGCTACCAAATACTAATTGAGTGTATGTAAACTTCTGACCCACTGGGAATGTGATGAAAGAAATAAAAGCTGAAAGAAATCATTCTCTCTACTATTATTCTGACATTTCACATTCTTAAAATAAAGTGGTGATCCTAACTGACCTAAGACAGGGAATTTTTACTATAATTAAATGTCAGGAATTGTGAAAAACTGACTTTAAATGTATTTGGCTAAGGTGTATGTAAACTTCCGACTTCAACTGTATGTAGTTAAACAAAATGTGCACGAACAGGTTATGTGTATGTACAGTATGTTAGGTGCATAGAATAAGGAATTATAATGGTGATTTAATAGGATCTGTATCGTTCTGTGTGTCTGTCTGTGTTAGAGTGTCATATTCACAGTGTTCCAATGTGCTAGAGAATATCCGAGGGTCACAGAAGTTGAGTGGTAGTAGTGGTCAAACCAATCATGTTGTTGTCGTCATGATATCACTGAAGAGACCCTGACATATCTGAACTATTTCTCACAACACTGTAATAGGTTAAGAGGAGTGTGAATACTGCATATCAAAAAGGTGATGAGCAGGAAATTATCCCATGACCTGAACATGTAACTGCAATTAAAGGTCTAGTAAGGTTGTACTGAACTTACAGGGTTTTTCTGATGATTTACAGTGAGGGAAAAAAGTATTTGATCCCCTGCTGATTTTGTACGTTTGCCCACTGACAAAGAAATTATCAGTCTATAATATGAATGGTAGGTTTATTTGAACAGTGAGAGACAGAATAACAACAAAAGAATCCAGAAAAACGCATGTAAAAAATGTTATAAAATGATTTGCATTTTAATGAGGGAAATAAGTATTTGACCCCTCTCAATCAGAAAGATTTCTGGCTCCCAGGTGTCTTTTATACAGGTAACGAGCTGAGATTAGGAGCACACTCTTAAAGGGAGTGCTCCTAATCTCAGTTTGTTACCTGTATAAAAGACACCTGTCCACAGAAGCAATCAATCAATCAGATTCCAAACTCTCCACCATGGCCAAGACCAAAGAGCTCTCCAAGGATGTCAGGGACAAGATTGTAGACCTACACAAGGCTGGAATGGGCTACAAGACCATCGCCAAGCAGCTTGGTGAGAAGGTGACAATAGTTGGTGCGATTATTCGCAAATGGAAGAAACACAAAAGAACTGTCAATCTCCCTCGGCCTGGGGCTCCATGCAAAATCTCACCTCATGGAGTTGCAATGATCATGAGAATGGTGAGTAATCAGCCCAGAACTACACAAGAGGATCTTGTCAATATCTCAAGGCAGCTGGGACCATAGTCACCAAGAAAACAATTGGTAACACACTACGCCGTGAAGGACTGAAATCCTGCAGCGCCCGCAAGGTCCCCCTGCTCAAGAAAGCACATATACATGCCCTTCTGAAGTTTGCCAATGAACATCTGAATGATTCAGAGGAGAACTTGGTGAAAGTGTTGTGGTCAGATGAGACCAAAATCGAGCTCTTTGGCATCAACTCAACTCGCCGTGTTTGGAGGAGGAGGAATGCTGCCTAAGACCCCAAGAACACCATCCCCACTGTCAAACATGGAGGTGGAAACATTATGCTTTGGGGGTGTTTTTCTGCTAAGGGGACAGGACAACTTCACTGCATCAAAGGGACGATGGACGGGGCCATGTACCGTCAAATCTTGGGTGAGAACCTCCTTCCCTCAACCTTAATCCCATAGAAAATCTGTGGAGGGAGCTGAAGGTTTGAGTTGCCAAACGTCAGCCTCGAAACCTTAATGACTTGGAGAAGATCTGCAAAGAGGAGTGGGACAAAATCCCTCCTGAGATGTGTGCAAACCTGGTGGCCAACTACAAGAAACGTCTGACCTCTGTGATTGCCAACAATGGTTTTGCCACAAGGTACTAAGTCATGTTCTGCATAGATGTCAAATACTTATTTCCCTCATTAAAATGCAAATCAATTGATAACATTTTTTTAATGCGTTTTTCTGGATTTCTTTGTTGTTATTCTGTCTCTCACTGTTCAAAGAAACCTACCATTAAAATGATAGACTAATCATGTCTTTGTCAGTGGGCAAACGTACAAAATCAGCAGGGGATCAAATACTTTTTTCCCTCACTGTATGTCAATAACCATATTCTGATATATTTATTTTTTAAATATTTAAATAAAGATATGGGCCTGAATGTTAAATATACTTCCCTCTAGTTAGCATACTGTAATGGTATATTTAATTTCACAAAAATGAATTTAACAACTGTATTAGAAGTTGTGGAGTACTGCGGACAAGCCACCAGGGGGAGACTCGTCGAGGCCTGGTGACTGACGGAGTATACATCACGCGACGGTGGCTCCCTCTGCTGGACGTGCCAGGTCTTGACGGGTCCTCCGGCCAGGACTAATTGGGGCTGATTGATGCTGGTGAGTAATCAAGGGTCTGATTGCTCACCAGCCGTACGGGGCCCATAAAGCTGCCAGGAGGGCAGCACACGAGATGGTTGGAGGTAGTGAGACATTGCTACCGGGCAGACGTCCTCACGATCTGATAGAACTGAGGGACTCAGTGTTCTACCCCAGAAAAGACCGCATTCCCCGGAGCCCAGAAGGCGGTGACCCGGAAGAGGTCTCCTGGAGGAGACCTGTTTCTTTTCTTTACATTTACATCATTTAGCAGACGCTCTTATCCAGAGCGACTTACAGTTAGTGCATACATTATTCAAATTTTTTTTTTTTCTCATACTGGACCCCCATGGGAATCGAACCCACAACCCTGGCGTTGCAAACGCCATGCTCTACCAACTGAGCTACCTCCCTGCTGGCCATTCCCTCCCCTACCCTGGACGACACTGGGCCAATTATGCGCCGCCCCATTGGTCTCCCGGTTGCGGCCGGCTACAGCAGAGCCTGGATTCGAACCA